CTATTCGCTTCCGTTTCTGCAGCCCGGTCGCCTGATCAAGGTGAAGTATCAAGACTTGGACTTCGGGTGGGGCGTGGTCGTAAACTACCAGAAGCGTTTGCCACCAAAAGTTAGTATCCTTGTCGGACAAATTTAATGGGACACTTATTCTTCTCTAGACATGGCAAAAACATCCGCTGGCCGATATTCCTGCCCACGAACAATACGTCCTCGACGTGCTAATGAACTGCAACGATGGTGCTACGCTACTGAAGGACAAAACGGTATCTACGCCCACACCAGGGGGGATACTCCCTTGTTTCCCTGGCAATAAAGGCTTGCCGCTCGTAGTACCTATTTTCCTTTCTGCCGTGGACGCGATCAGCCACATCCGTGTCTTCCTACCGAAAGATCTTCGACAAGATCAAGCGCGTGATACTGTCTGGAAGAGCGTTCTCGAAGTGCAACGAAGATTCCCGGACGGCATTGCCCTTCTCGATCCTGTGGAAAATATGGACATCAAAGATGAGAAGTTTACAGCCCTAGTCAATGTAAGTCTTCGTTAATTACCAACGCATCGCATGGAATTAAAAATTGTGGACAGAAAATCGATGTCATGGAGCAAAAAATGTTCTCAAATCCATTGCATAATGATCCCCGTCTCCCAGAAGTATACACGCTGTACGCCCGAAAGCAGGAGGCACAAACAAAGATACGGGATTTGAAAAAGCGTATTATGGCGACACACGATGTTCTGCAACTCGAGGAGTTGAAATACCGGAAACGTGTACTCCGTCGACTTGAGTGCACGAACTCATCCGACATCGCAGAACTAAAGGGTCGTGTAGCTTGCGAAATCAGCACTGGGGATGAGCTTCTGCTTACTGAACTTATCTTCAATGGCGTCTTCAACTCCCTACTCCCTGAGCAATGTGCCAGTCTACTTAGCTGCTTTGTTTTCACAGAAAAGGTATCCAGGAAGGTTTCGTTCTGAGTGAATTAGCTAATCCTGATTTCAGAGTGAACACGTGACCAAGCTCACAGAAGAGTTAGCAGCGCCATTGCGCGTTATGCAAGAAATTGCGCGCCGAATAGCGAAAGTGTCACAGGAATCGAAATTACCGTTGGTCGAGGAAGAATATGTTGCGTCTTTCAAAGTCGAATTAATGGACGCCGTTTTCCAATGGTGTAGAGGAGCTTCGTTTTCCGACATTTGCAAAGTTTGTCAACGCTGTCCTTCATCGTGAACTTACTAATTTATTGACTGGACGCAGCTGACCGATCAATTTGAGGGAAACCTGATACGTGTCTTTAGGCGCCTTGGTGAATTACTTCGTCAGATGGCTCAGGCCGCCAAAGTCATTGGCAACTTGGAACTTCAAGAAAAATTTCAGAAGGCATCTGAAATGCTAGAACGCCCTAATTCTGTCATTTTTTGTTCTTCCCTGTACCTGTAGAATCTATGACGCTCCAACCCTCACTTTCCTCAGGACAGGTAATTTCTTGCATGTCTGTCATGTTGATAAGCCAGAACATTTGGGCCATTGTTTGCGGGAATCAGAAGCAGATGTGATGATGGTCATACAAAATGGCACTCTCTAGCTCCAGCCTGACTCATTAGACTAGCTAGTTCGATTCTACTACTTTCTAGATCTAGGTGACTTTAGCTACAACTGTTTTCGCCAGTTTTTGCTTTCCCTGCGTAAATCCTATTCATCTTTTTTTTTCCTCTTAGAACTATTTTCACTAGTAGGAACGCTACACCTATAGTTTGAGGACTAGTCCGTGACCCAGGTCAATTCAGCATTACAGAACGGTTTTGAAGACTTCAATGAATCGTCCTCTACTCGTTCTCTATAGTGAGAAGATACAGCATCCTCCGTATCCTTAGCCATTGTAAATATATCACTTATGCCGGATAACCAAATTCTATACCGCTGATAGTGACACCGATATTCTTATTCCACTTTCTGGTACTAATACAATAAACGTGAAAACATGTTTGCATAGTTGCTTGGATGATGACCTCGACGTTTACAGCTTCTACGCAGCAGCACCGACACCATGCCTGAAGCGAACTGCCTCAGACGCAGGTTTGACAGCCAAAGGCTTGGCAGTGGGGGAACCGATAGCCTTGGCAATGCGGTCGGACAGAGATTGGTCGACAGATGCAAAGTAAGAAACTAGATTAACTTTAGTTGAGCAACAATATCGGGAGATCATATTTGAACGTACGAGTCCGGGCTCTAACTTCAGCGCTTTTGGCACCACCAAGGTGGCCAGCAATGTTGGAAACTAGGCGCGCCCTGGCTCCGTCATCCATTACATTTTGGTAGAGTGCGCGCGGTTGCTCGAAGTCAACTAGAAAATTTGACATCGTCATCAAAGTCCAACAAACAGCGTCTTGGCCGCCTACGCTCGGTGATCTCGCTCAAGTCCCAGAATGCTCCACCGACCCAGCTTTCATGCTGTTTGGCTCTCTCATAGTCTCTGGGTGTGCCATTTTTAGATCCCTTGTTGCTCACGTATGTCAAGGGCGTAATGGAACTCTGATAGTTTGGCCGGGCTCCCTGGCTGTTGAATGCCATAGGGCCATCGCGTTGGAAGTGGGCAACATGGACAATAGGCGCATTGACAGGGAGCTGGTGGTAATTCGCGCCAAGCCGGTGACGGTGGGTGTCAGGGTAAGAGAACAGTCGTGATTGAAGGACAGGATCAGCAGTGGCCTCGAAGTAGGGAATCAAATGGCTTGGCGCAAAAGCAGCCTATTAAGAGTTATTTGAATAGATCGATCAGCCCACATCGTGGCGGAATGAAATAAATTCCCATCACCTGTTCAATTTCAGCGAAGTAATTTTGCGGGTTCTCGTTGAGCACGAATTTTCCTACGGGGCGCAAGGGGTAGTCCTTGTGGGGCCAAATTTTTGTCAAATCCAGGACATTGTAACGGAAGTTTTCGGCCTGCTCTGGAGTCATAGTTTGCTGGATTGGAGGTTAAATATTGAAGTTGAAGGCATAAATGATAAATCACTGACAACGTAGACGGTCCAGGACGGGAATTTTCCAGCGTCTATGGTTTCGAACAACGACTGAATACCATAATCGGGGTTGTCTGCGGACAAGTTGCGAGCCGTAGCAGTATCAAGGACCTATGGAATACATTGGCAACAAACGGTTGTGTCAAAAAGGCATACAAACCTTGAATCCGCCATCAGCAATACAGTGGATTTGGGTGTAGACCCATGAGCCGTCATCTTTCACGAGCTTGAAGGTATGGCCGGAATAAGCGTGCATGTTGTGGTAGCCATCGGGTATCCCGCGGTCGGAAAATAGTATCATGACTTGATGTGCCGATTCCGGGTTTTGGGACAGGTAATCCTATGAGGAAAAATGTTTGGATTTGGACGCTTTGAAAGTGAAATAGATCTTACCCAGAACATGTCTGGATCTTTCAGGTGTGTCTGGGGGTCACGTTTTTGCGTGTGAATGAAGGGCGGGAACTTGGCGGGATCTCTGATGAAGAACACAGGGGTGTTGTTGAACACCCAGTCTAGGTTACCCTCTTCTGTTTTCAATTTCAGAGAGAAACCACGGGGATCGCGAGCCGTGTCGGCGGAACCACTTTCACCACCGACAGTAGAGAAACGGACGGTGATTTTAACTTGCTTGCCAACGTCAGTGAATAGTTTGCAAGAGGTGATGTCACTGAGATCGTGGGTCGTTTCGAAATAGCCATGAGCACCAGCGCCTTTGGCATGCACCTAGTATATGATGGATATAGAAGCTTATTCATCTGAATGTCGCACTTACCACACGCTCAGGGATCCGTTCCCGATCGAAATGAGCAAGAAGATCGATGTGATGGAAGTCTAATATGTGGATTAGCATGAAAATATATATCAACTAAATCAACCAACCCTGAAGGAGGAGGGGTCCCACAGGACCCACACGTTCAGCAGCAAGGGGATGCGCTACGGGTGCACCATTAGAGGTGGTGTATACTGCGCCATCTGTAGCAGCGAAGACTTGCGGGGAGGGCATGATTGAGAGATGATGAATGAATGCTAAAGAGAAAGATGGGGATATGATTCGAGATGGAGAGTGGATTATAAGTACCCCTGGGAGTGTCTTACGAATTCGTGAATGATCACGCGCTCCGCTGCGCCCCGAGAATGGTTCGAGCGCTCCGTTGTGCACCCATTAGGACTCTTCTGTGTTGTGTGCACAAGAATAGTCCATCAGATCTGATAATGATGACACTTGGTCGACAAATGGTGACACCTAGTGGACAAATGGCTTACTGCCCCTGTCACTCATCTTGCCCAATTGCGCTACGAGGCAGTGGTTGGTTGGACAACCATGGAAATGCAATTCCATTATTGGGAGAGCCTCGTGGAAAGATGTAGTTAGATCGTGAGTACTTGACTCCCACGAGCGTTTTGACTGGAGTCTTGACCAGAGCTCGCACGGTCGCACCTGGGAGCCGCTTGTGAATAACCAATCAAGCTCGAGATTAAAAAAACAAATACCGTGATTCCCTCATCCTTACAGGTTGACGCCACGAGGCTCAGGAAACGTGTCTTATGCTTTAAAAGCCTACCTGATACTGAATGACACGGCGGCCTGACGCTTGACGTCCAAAAGCTTCTGGGCTACTATCAAAATATGACGTGACTCAGGACTCCATTTTCCAGATAGCATTGATGAAACGTGGCACTGAATCGATTGCGAACGCATCCCAGAGTCTCTGATCAGTTCCCAGAGAGTTACCCAACTCGTTAGCCAGCCATGAATAACTAACAATGACCCATGGATCACTGTCAGGCGAGATATCGGAACTTGAACAAGCTGGATACCATGTGATTGCCGAAGTTGATCTCCAGTTCGGCCATCAGCATGAGGAAACTCCCGAAGCTTTATGTACTGAATCTAGGTTATTCAAGCGAGATGAGTTCACTTTCTCATGTTGGATATTGGGGGTACCTAGTCGGTGTGTAAAGTGTCATTGTGGGACACACCCATGAGAACTCTCAGACCGTGCTGACAGTATATTTCATACGGGACTACATCATGACAACTCGGAAGTGCGCTAAGATGTATGACGAATCTGGTGAGAAAGGCTTTGTACCATCGTAACGATCTCATTGGCAAGTGTCAACTGTAGAGGTCTGGCGAGGATCGTTGTCAGTATGATGGAGGTGTGATGCCGAGTATTACCTTCATTTACTACGTTCTTTGATGATCTTCACACCGGGTAATATGCGTTTACAAGACATGTATGGCTTGGCGACCTCTGGTTGAGTATTGAGCGTCGGTAGCGATGCTGAAGGTGTGCTATTATCGTCCGCAGAAAGCCCTGAGTGAGTAATAGGTTCCACGCGGGCGGTAAGACGCCGAACGGTTGAGCCTGCGGGATTTCTGGAAGAGAGAGAACCCTTCAAACCAAGACACTGCCTTGAGGCCGAACTTAATAACGCAGCCGATGGCGGTGGTTTTGGTGGCAACGAATTAAACGAATTGGTGGTGCTTGATTCCATCTGGCGTAACTTTGCCTCCATCGTCGCAATCTTGTTATCCGTACTAATAATTTAGAGGTAAGTTAAAAGGTACCCTTCTGAACATAAAATTCACCCTTCTGACCGAGTATGGATTCCACTTTTTATCATACTCAGAGTGGTCGGTCGCGCATCAATTCTTCTCGCCCTACCCACTTGTCGACTTCCACTGGGCTGTTCGAGCGGAGCTTGATAAGCAAAAGTGACAGCCAGCTTACGACCCCGCAATAGCTTCCCATTGATGTTTTCTAATGCCGTCTGAGCATCCTGGTGCGGGTCATTTATTAGTCAAGCTGACAATGACCAGAAAGGACAATGGCCGCCACATGCACCACCATATATCAACACAATCACGACTAAGCGGCGGCGCTTTACAGAATTATGACTTACTCCTTCGTGCAAATATTGTATGAAGGCATATCCACGTGGTTTTCCTTTGTTTGGCCCCGTCTTGTGAAAGAGGAAGTCAAGTTTCGATACTTTGCCGAACTTGGTGAAGACCTGTAGAAGCGCATATCTTTCCACAATTAGAGGAGATGAGCCGAACCACAGCTAACTAACTCACTCATCGACAGTAGGATGCAGATTTCCAATATACAAACGATCCCTTAATTGTGAAGATGAACTGGATGCCTGAGGTATAGCAATAGCTTGCTCTTGAGCTTCTGGCTCTGGAAACCAGAGATGAGCGCTCAAAGATGAATCGTCCTTGTCTGCTTGTGGAGGTTGTGCAGGGATATCCTGAGAATTTGTGACCATTGAATATTGACAAGCTGCAGTGAATGTTGACCAGGTCACCGGGGGTACATGGTATGTGAATTTATATTAGAGTTTTGGCAGTCAAGGATGAAGGTATGGCGGGTCCTGACGGAGTTTCAAATGGATAGTGTTGCCGCCGCTGAGTAATTAGGCTATGTATTTTTATTGACCATACTATCTCTTGCCCGGTGTTGCAAAATGGCCCGGTTTTGCAAATCGCGACGTAGCACACTCATATTTCACTCATTTCCTTTGCACAATGATTCTAGAGGATGATTGATTGATAACTTACTGTTTGTATTTTTTATTTCACGAAAAATGGACGAGAGGTGCTTGCGGCAGTGAAACACTGCTCAGAATGTGTGTTTTCCATGCCAATCCATCGGAAGGAAGCCAGCACACGCATTAAAAAAATCAGGAATTTTACTAGTAATTTCCCATTGCCTTCTAATATCACTCTGATTTTTTCTGACATGATAACTGAGTGGTGTTGAGAGATACAAATGTTGTACTATTGAGATGCAGGACGTGACAGGAGGAGTGAGATTGTGTTCGGAGTCACAAATCGCTGCTCGGCAACTCGGCCAAAACTTGCACAATTCTGTGAAGTTAGACTGTCATCAGTCTCCTACCATACCAGTGACACAAGTCGCGCACATGATCGATATCCCCCGTTTAATCCATACTTACACTGTAATATACCATCCGGTTCTCGAACTGGTGGCTACTTTTTAGCTGCCGCTAGTCAACACTAGTCATTCCCTCTATAATCAAGTTCCCTGCAGCATAGTTATATATTACACCTATCTAGATAGTCTTACAGTACATACACTTACTTGAAATTCAAGTCTCAGCGCTGCACAAAGCCCTTGAATAGCCCTCGTCAATTGCCCCAGATTCGTTCAACGCTTGACGGCGTCGGAGAGTAAAAACGGCAGTGTGACATAGTGTGACGCGACGACTTCTGTGCGGATGAGAATTTTTGCAACTCTGTGGTCAAACACTGCTTCACGCCGGCTTCTCTCTGGCAACGTAGCCTCAACATATTTCTCTATTTTTTTTTGCCTAGCCTTACAGTATGTACTGAATCCTACCCGCTCATGTTGTTGCCTTATTTTAATGTTGTGTAGTTGTTGTGTTCTAAAAAACGGGTCGAAAGTTTTGCAACACCGGGCAAGAGATAGTATGGCGTAAAACCAAATGCGACAACAATGTCGCTCGCTGCGCGAAAACTATGTGAACAACGCAGGTGAGATGTTGGATAGATAATTGCTATTTTTAAATTTTAACATCAAAATGGTGGTTTTGCCGTGTAAGAAAAGAAAGATCCGCAGACTTCGTGAGGAATGAAATGCAAGTGAGGATTGATACCGCTATGGCTACATGTAGTTGTGACGTGCAAGAATAAGAACTGGTCCTGATTGAAGCAAACTCAAGTGCCGATCGGTGTCTGGCTGGATGCCAAAACCAACGTCCATGTACATTATGATGTCTTGCTACTGGGCATCCACATGGCTCTGCTTAATGTGGCGCAAGAGAGCATCTTTACGGGACAGGAATTTCTGGCAATGAGGGCATTTGACTGTCATCGAAGGCAGGCCTGGGCTAAACTTGCAACTCCCCAAGTGCCTCTCCATGTCGTTTCGACGCGTAAAAGACTTCTTGCAGCCATGAATTTTCATCGAACAGTCAAACCGCTCTTCCTTGGTTCCTTCGTGTCTTGTCACTCTTGAGGAACCATAACTGACTTTCCTAACCTTGGATGCTGCCCGTTTATGGATGCGATTGGGTTGGTAATCGTCATCGTCATCGTCATCGTCATCGTCGGTCCGCCGGCGCTTGGCTCCTCGACAAACGTCAGCCGGTTTAATACCAACATGACTTGGGTTGAAAGGCGACGAGAGCTGACTCGGATGCTGTACGTTAGTACGGAGCGGACAGGGGGCTGAGCTTGGAGAAATGCATATTTGCACTTGTGATGTAACGTTCTCCGTCAAGCCCTCTGTAAATCTTAGGAAACGAGATCGCTCCGCGGGATTAGAGTCTGGCAAGATAGATGACGAGTCATGCACCAGCTCAGCATCGTCAACTGGAAGCACGAGCTTCGGCTGAGAGAGATTCTTTAAGGATGATGCTGGAGAAGGCATATCCAAGACCGCCCGACAGGCAAGGTCTTCTTGTAATTGTTCAGGATAAGCTGAGTCTTCCATAAATCCTTCTTCCTCAAAAAACGGAGTGCAATGCGCTGCGACATCGAGAGGCCCAAAGTCTTCCAACGGACCACAGAAGAGGTCAGGGAGAAGGGCGCCGCCTTGTGGAGTCAAGGGAGACCTGCTCGACGCGACACTGAACGGTGATTCATCAGGGCTCAACTGCGGTAAACCTAAAAAGTCTCCAGTTGCAGATGATCCTGGATACCGATATCGGGCAGCCTTAAGACACGTGTCAGCATGGACTTGTGAGATCTTCGGTTCACGCACGTTAGATGCTTGCAATTGGTGGATAGCCAAATTCTCGATATATGCCGCATCGTCCGTATCCTCGAGGTGAAGATCGAGGTCATCAGAAGACCACAGCACCGTTGGTGCTGTGGATGACTCGAACTCAAAGGTTCTGTCCTCAGTCAGTCAATCGACCATTCAATTGACCACAAAATTAAGATTCCAATGCTCACCTTAAACCATCCACGAAATCGAGCTTCGATGGGAGCTCGGTTTCTCGTTGAAAGGATTCTGAATCCTCAGGATATACAAGGAATTCATTGTAGTTGCTAGACGACGGAAGATGCATGTGCGATGAGGTAGATGGTTAGGGAAAAGTGTCGGATAAGATGCAAGGAAGTGCACTCTCCGCAAGGCGACCTTCTTATCGGCCTTGAAAGTCCTGTTGACACTTGAGGGTCCATCCCTCACAAAAACGTGTTGTACACGCGTCAACAAGGCTGTAGCCTTGATGCGGAAGTGCATCTTAATTGTTCCGAGCGTCTTTAGTGGGCTAAGAAGCCAATCGTAGGCGCTGGACCGTCGTGTTTGTTAGATCTACGAGGTTGTTGTATTATTTTGAAGAAAATAAAGGACCAACCGACATCACTTTTTTCCAAGGTATATGCCAATCTTTTCTGGCCCACGACGTACTTCAAGAGTCGTGCATGTACATCCTGTACGTAGGGCACTGGCAAGTCCCGGCCGGTCGATGATGTCTGTCACCTCAGTTCTAGAAACCGCGGAGCACGGACCTTTGCGAAGACAATTTGAGGGACAAAAGTGGCCCGGAATTTGATGTCAGAACAAATATGGTAGTATGTCCACCATTATGTAATACTATTAGACCAGAATTTGAAATATTCACTTATTTGTTATTGGAACGACACCAGAGGCCCTCATGCTAACTACAAGCTTTTGTAAGTTGTTAACTTTAGTCGTGGAGCTTGTGCGTGGCGGTACAATTGTCATGACCAGACCTTGACCAGGAATTGTGGCGTACGCACTGCGCGTGCTGATCTGCGACCAGCTACTACATCATGGTATGGTGATGGTAGTACTTACTTCGTGATGATCCCTCCGGGCTGAGCGCTCAGCGCTCAACAGCCATGCTACGGTCCGAATACGGTAGTTTGTAAGTACATCCACTGTGTCGCGGCACAGCTAAACGATATCTAACTTCATGTGTCGCCAGCTGTTGCAAACATTGATACTATCTCCGTACTGTCAAATAGGGTAGAGCACGGGTATACCGCAAACACCGTTCATACCCGTAGAATTCGGGAGGCAGGCTACTCATCAAAAAAATCGGCAAGTAGTTCTTGAAATACACAATATGGTAAGAGAATGGATGGTGTCCAAGTGCTGCTTACTGATATTATAACTTGCTTACTATTGTTAGTGGCGGGGTATCTATACTTATCACAGCAAATTTCTCGGGGGCCCTAGTAGGCAGGCCTTAATAAAAGGGCAATCCGTCCGTTTCTTCTGTATCAGATGGACGTCATATATCTGAGGCACAAACGAGTCTCAGTGGGCGACGAATTCGAAAGTATTGATTCATGCTCATGCGCAAAGCTGTCTTAAATCACTGGCCAAACGGTGTCATCTTCAAGGCAGTAAGTACTCCTTGAAAACTCTATGGTGGGCATGACGCTGAGATGCTAATACTTCGACCCCGTATGTCACACTATCATCTGCCATAGCCACCCACTCGCCCTCATCGCCTTAGTCCTTGTTTATTTTCAGGCATTCATTTTGAGATTATCACTAGGTTGTGTACATCGATTCTGTTTGCCACCTGCGATGATTGATACCCGAATAATAATTCTCAGGTGAAAATTCCGCAAGCCTTTGATCGACAATACTGATGAGCAGCCATAGGCTGAAGTTTGAACATATCTATGTTGTTTGCGATCGTTCAATTGAGGTTATGGTGCATCTTTGACCTTACAGGTTCGTATGCACTCCACATGTATGTATTTTTTCAATATGCCAATACATCACCAATCCATTTTCATAGAATGGGGTCGATGATCAACCCAAATCATCGATCCAGTATATGAGAACATTCAACACTACCTTTCAGGTAATATATAATCATGATACGCCAGGTGAGTCGCGAAGATGGCGCAGGTCGGGGTGAGCTTGCATAACTGATGTTATGAAGGAACGACCAAGTATCTCATGTGTGAGATCGAGGAGCTGGAAATACATATACTGATTTTACGACGAGTGCTAGCAGTGCACCAATGTTCCAAAGAAACCTTGAAGTGATGAATATGAACATTGACTACCTAATTAGGAACATTGGTTCAAGTGATCCATCATTACGCTGCAAAGTTCAGTTACTGTCACGGTCCATGATCTGTATATCCATAACCTGTTCGCGACCGTGAGCATACCCAGCTGTGTGAAGTATTTCAGCGTCTCCTTTGACAATTTGCTTTGCTTCTTATTCACGACCATCACTCCAAGTTGACTGCACGTTTAGACACCACCTTATACCTGGATATCCCCCAAGTTATTCAGTCATTCTAGACAACTTACAAGCCAAACTCAGTTTTGGTGGCCCATATCCCTGCTGATGCCAGCTCCTCGTCCCTCTCTGAGTGCAGAAGCCGCGCGCGCCGCTGCGCTACAGGCTGAGTTTAATGAAAAGAAATGGGTGTGGGTACCAGACGAGAAAGACGGTTATCTCGCTGGCTGGGTACACCAAGAAGATGACGAGACTGCAGAGATTATTATGTCTTCTGGTAGCGAGGTATCTTCACCCTAATCTTCTTCATGATGTGCCAATTTGCTGACACGAAACGCGTCAGATTCGTCAGGTTCCTTTGTATGCACTCTCCAAGATGAACCCTCCCAAGTTCGATCGTGTCGAAGACATCGCAGATCTCACATTTTTAAACGAAGCGAGCGTCGTGCATAATCTGCGTCTAAGGTATGGATCTGGAGCTATCTATGTGAGTCCTATCCTGTCAGCGATTTCTTGCGCACATTCATGAGCATCCTATCTTGCACGCCTACTAAAACGCACCGAGTAGACATACTCTGGCTTATTCTTGGTTGCCATAAACCCTTACCAGAACCTTCCGCTGTATACAGACGCGATTATATCTCAGTATCGCAGTAAACGACGCGATGAGAACCCTCCTCATATCTTCGCAGTTGCGGAGCGCGCATGGGTTAACATGGGGGAGGAGCGCGAAAATCAGAGCATTCTTATAACGTCGGCCATCCCTACCTTTCCGTGAATCATACAACTAATTTGCCGTCCACAGGGGAGAATCTGGTGCAGGAAAAACTGAAAGCACGAAGAAAGTTATACAATACCTGTCTGCTATAGCAACTGATGCTCACCCGCGCCATCCTTCACATTCACATTCTGCTTCCATGGCATCTTCATTCCCCGCATCCCCACCTTTGGGTCTGCCCAGAAGAAGCTCTTTCCATACCAAAGCTACTCATGTTGTGTCTAACAGCACTGGAGGTGCCAAGGGTCGTCTAGGCTTGCTCGAGCGACAGATTCTCCAAGCGAATCCCATCCTTGAGGCATTTGGTAACGCGCAGACTCAGCGGAACAACAACTCAAGTAGATTCGGGAAGTTTATTAGGATTAGTTTTTCTCCGGACGGGAGTATATCCGGGGCGAATATTGACTGGTACCTGCTAGAGAAGAGTCGAGTTGTGGTTCGCAGTGCCGCGGAGCGCAACTTTCACATATTTTACCAGTTGCTATCAAGTGGAGGATCATTGAAAGGCAAGTATTTGAAATATCCTCTCCCCACTTGTTTCTGATATTTGTGCTGCTACAGACACTCTTCTGCTGGATCGCCCTTTAGACGAATATGAATTTCTCAACAGAAGCAGGCGAGAGGTTGATGGCATCAACGATCGTGAAGATTGGGACGCTCTGATAGTACGTTTTGTGAAAGCGAAGTCTTCGATACTCGACTAATACACTCCCAGAATGCTCTTGATATTGTTGGCTTTACGGTCGCGGAACAGTTCGACCTTTTCCGCATCGTCGCGGCAATTCTTCATATTGGCAACATCGACATCCGTTCTACGAAGTCGGATGATGCATTCATGCCAGATCCCTCGCAAGCTGAGCGTGTCTGCCATTTGCTTGGTATCCCTATCGCAGAGTTCACAAGAGCTATCTTACGGCCCAGGGTTCTTGCTGGACGTGAGTGGGTCACGCAGGCGAGGACGGGGCAACAGTCTCTTGACGAACTCTCGTCCTTGAGCAAGTCGTTGTACGAGAAGTCCTTCGGTGCACTAGTTGAGCGCATCAACCGTGCGCTAGATCGCCCGTCCTCTAAGTCGACGTTCATCGGTGTTCTCGACATCGCAGGCTTCGAGATCTTCGAAATTAACACGTACGAACAATTGCTCATCAACTATACCAACGAGAAACTGCAGCAATTTTTCAATCATCATATGTTCGTCCTCGAGCAGGAAGAGTATTCCAGGGAAGGCATAGAATGGGATTACGTGAACTTCAAGCTGGACTTGCAACCGACCATTGACCTCATTGAGAGCAGCGGGAACGCCATTGGCATCCTCAGTTGCTTAGACGAGGAATGTATCATGCCCAAAGCCACCGATCTTACATTCACAGAGAAAGTCCATTCGATCTGGAGTGGAGATCTGCGCGCAACAGAGCATCCTCATCCAGGCCGGACGAAATACACCCTACCGAAGTTTGAACAAGGCTTTATCATCACGCATTACGCAGGCAAAGTCGAGTACCGCACCGACGGGTGGTTAGAGAAGAATAAGGATCCCCTCAACGATAATCTCACACGTGTACTAGCATCATCATCGGAACCTTATGTGGCATCGCTTTTCCAAGATTTTGCTGGCGTCTTCGCCGACATGCCCCCATCTTCCAGTGCTGGGTTCTCCGCAGGCAAAAGGCGCACCATCAAGAGAGGAGCATTTAGAACAGTTGGGCAACGGCACAAGGAGCAATTGGCGCTTCTGATGGCGCAGTTGCAGGCGACACAGCCACATTTCGTACGTTGTATCGTGCCCAACGTCAACAAGAAACCCGGAAGGGTGGATGTGCCCCTCGTCCTCGATCAATTGCGTTGCAATGGTGTTTTGGAGGGTATTCGCATAGCACGTCTTGGTTATCCCAATCGGCTTCTCTTCGTCGAGTTCCGCCAGCGCTACGAGATCATGACTCCAGGCATTATTCCTCGTGGATACATGGATGGTCGCAAATCGTGCATCCGTATTGTAGAAGCTTTAGATCTCGATACTGAGTTATTCCGTGTGGGAACATCCAAGATATTCTTCAAGGCCGGAGTCCTCGCCGATCTCGAGGAGCGGCGGGATGCCCTTCTATTTGACGTATTTTCGAGGCTTCAGGCTGTTGCTAGGAGGTTCTCCGCACGCAGACAGATGAAGAAGGTTCTTAATCGTGCGGTGGCGATACGAACGATCCAGCGTAATGCTCGTGTGTACGGGGAGTTGCGAGATTGGCCATGGTGGCAGCTATACACTAAAGTAAGGTGGTTCTTGTCTATTTTGTGGTAAATTTTTGATCATTTTACACAGGTCCGTCCGTTACTCGCCGCGACACGAAATGATGAAGAGCTCAGGAGGAAAGACGTTGAGCTGCAACTTGTAAAGGAGAGAGCAGAGCGCGACCAACGGGAACGGGAAAACCTGGAGAACGTGAAGATGACTCTTCAGGTGGAAAAACGAAAGATCATCGAAGAGTTGGAAGCCGAGCGTGCGCTTACCCTCGACAAAGATGCCATGTTAGAC